GTAAGTTAAAAAGCTACGTTCTTAGAAACAATGAACAGTACGTATATGTAAATGAAAAATATATGGGCAGTATATTGTGTATATGTGTTTACATACAATATATTGTATATGTGCAGTCAAATTGTAACAATCCTACCTAACAAAACTGAAAAATGAAAACAAAAAAGAGCCTATTGTCCAGTGCCGCAACCCCACTGCCTCCCTGTCACATGACCCTTACTACTTCATGAGGTCACTCCTGGATATGACCACAATTTACTCTCTGGGTTACAGGATTTCTGAATGATTCTAATCCCTGTGTATGTATATGATCTGTTTTCTACAATAATCATGTAGCTTGTTCTTTTCTTTTATTAATTTATTTTTATTATTATTATTTTTTAATGGTGGTACTGGGGATTGAACCCAGGACCTCATGCATGCTAAGCACTCACTCTACTACTGAGCTGTACCCAACCCCCCCCAAGCTCGTTCTTTTCTTAACCAGTATAATTAACCTCTCTATTCTCTAGCTTAAATCTTCCTCCCTGTCACTGTCCCCTGTTGGGCCTTGCTCAGCCCCAGGGCCACACAGACCTGCCTGCTTTCTCTGTCCTGTGACAGACCGTTAGAGATCTGTACCCCTTACCAGCTACCAGGTCAAAGATCCCCCAGTTCCTTTGGTGGCCCCTCCCAGGACCCTGTACCCAGATCAGACTCCTCCAAACACTGTCCCTCTTTGGGTAGGGGGGTCAGACCATGCACAGTCCTTCAGGAGAGGATCAAGAGACCTTGCTCTTGGTGGCCTTCTGTCACCTAGCTTGAGTGATAGCACATCCCTGACTGATCAACAGCACAGCATTTCTAGTCACCTGCAGTTTGACTGTCAAGGACCACAGACTGGCCAATGTATCATGTCTAATTTGTCCAAAGGCTCCAGGCCCAGAGGGGTCCACTGAAGCCTGGGGCTTCTCTTGGGCCAGAGCTTACCTTTTGAGCCGTTAGCTCCTTGGTGAGCATCAGAACCTGCTGCTCCAAGGCCAGCACTTTCTCCTGGGCGGTTCGGTTCCGTATGAGCCCTTCGGTGAACAGTGGGAAGGTACTGCTCTGGAGTTTGGCTTTTTGAATGAGATTGGTGCTCAGAAAGGACTTGGGAGGCTTCAGAGAATCTGCTGAGTCCTTCCCTGTTCAAGAGGAAAAACACAGAGGTTATGATCAGCAGCCTCAGTAGTTCTCAAACTTGGGCTTGCTACAGAAGCACCTAGAAGGCTTAGTAAAATGCAGACTGGGGACTCTGCTCCCAGAGCTTTCCATGCCATAGGCCTAGGGCAGGGCTTGAGAATTCGCATTTTTAAACGTTCCTAGGTGATACTGATACAGCTTGTCCAGAGATCATACTTTGAGAACCACTGCACTGTGTAAACATGGTTTACCTTGTGCTGGCCAGATCATTCAGCTCATCCTCTAAACTTGGATCCCAACCTACATGGCCTATCTCGTAATACCCCGCTGGGGTCTGCCAGGTGGCCATCTCCTCAGGCACAGGCCCAGGCAGGGTGTCTTTTTTCTTATTTCAGGCTCCCACCTCTACCCTCTGGGTGATTTTCAAAGCACATGGATCTTGTCCTTCGATAGGAGCACAAAATACCTATACTCTGCATTATCGCCCCAGTGACTAATTTAAATTCTCACTGATTCTTATTTCATGCTAAATTAGGAGACATATTTCCCACAGCCGAACGTCTCAAGGCCGTATCCTTTTATTTCCTCCAGAGCCTGAGACAGCAAACAACAGCCCAGGCTAAATCTGCCGGTAGCCTGCTTTTGTAAATAAAGTTTTACTGGAACACAGTCATGCCATTTGTTGCACAATGTCTGTACTTCTTTCACTCCACAAGGGCAGAGTTGAGTACTTGCAACAGAGACCATATGGCCTACAACGCCTCTGTTTATCTGGCTCTTTATAGACAGTGTTTGCTCACCAGTGCTAAATTTTATTCTTAAATCACATCCAATATCAGAGACTCACTCACTCAGACTGACTTGTCCTGCCCTGCCCCCAGCTTTAGGGCTCTGCCATCAGCCTGCATCCAGGGACACGTAATGGCCCGACTATATGGTCAAGGGACCTTGAGAATTTTGATCACATGGATCATACACATCATGTTCATTATGAGGCTCCAACAGGAGAAATTCTCCCCAGTACTCAGTGCCAGAAAAAGCTTTGCCTCTTCCAAGAAAATACAGGTTTAATCTCATGGAGCTGGAAATAATCTAAACACATGCATTTCCCTCTTTGCCTTGGCTGCTGAGAAGCTCAGAGCCACATCTGCTGCCCACCTTTGGTACACTGTAGGATTTTTTTCTTGATCTTACCTAAATTTCCTAACCCAAAATACTCATTTACGTTCCCCCGATATACATTTTAGTAAGTTATACCCAATCATTTTGGGACTAAGATGTTAAGAATAAGGATGTGGTATGAGATTCTAGGGGAGGGGACAGGCAGGGCTTGCAGGACAAGCTGAATCACTTAGCAACTTTCTTCTGAGGACGAGGCCAAGGACCAACCAAATAGTCCTGAACAGATAAAGAACTACTCTCGTAGGTGACAAAAACCAGAAACTCCTTGGCCTTGTTGAGCACAAGATCAAGTCTTGTTCCAAACTTAAAAGAAATCCGGTTGAGCGGGTACAAAGCAGCTTGCAGAGCTCAGAGGAATGCGATGCTGCTTTCTCTTTCCTGCCACAGGGTCTAAGAGGGCTGGGAGGCTCCCTGGAGCCCTGCTGCCCTCTAATAATAACACTACCATCCACCAGCCCTGAGGACAGGCAGCGTAAGATCACCCTGCTCAGCTTGCAGTTGGGGAAAACGAGGCCTACGACAGTGGTTTCCAATCAGTGCCCTGGGATTTCGTGGGAGCACCTCAAGCGCTGACTGGGCAGGGAAGAGGGTGGGCCCGGAGGAGCTGAGGGGGAGCCCAGACTCCCACTCCTGCCTCCACTCGGCTTTTATCTGCTTTGTGTTTCAGATTTTGTTTATGGGCACAAAGTTTCATGGCAATAAAGATGTAGTTTGAAAAGTCACTGACTTAGAAAACGAGGCTTCAGGTTAGCAGTATGGGACTGGACTGCTTGGCCTGAATTGTATTCTGTTACTCACTGTGCAGCCGTGAGCGAGTCACCCCACACGTCTGTCCCCAGTTCCCTCATTTATTAAATGACGAGAACAGCAGTATGTACTGTTCAGGTTGTAAGGATTAAACAGGTTAATGCAGGTAAAGCACTTAGTGTACATGGACAAAACTTGAAAAGGTTGTGCTGAGTGAGAGGCACCAATCACAGAGGACCACATACTGTAGATTTCATTTACATGAAATGTCCACAACAGGCAAATCTATAGAGGCAGCAGGTAGATTTAGTGGTTGCCTGTAGTTAGAAGGTGGTGGAGATTGGGATTGAGGGCTGAGGGGTACAGGGTTTCTTTTGGGGGTAATAAAAATGTTTGAAAATTGATTACAGGGATGATTGTACAGAATATACTGAAAGCTGCTGAACTGTATGCTTCAAAGGAGTGAACTGCATGGTATGTGAATTACATCTTAATGAAACTGTTACCAAAAAAAAAAAAAAAAGCTTAGAGTTGCTCTAGCAAAAAGTGCCACTATATATAAGTGCTAGTTGTATTATTTTTATTGATTTGATATAGTACTGACTTTCTCTTGGACTGTTCATTGTGATCTGTGGGGACTCTCCAGGCACTGCTCCAAAGGGGTGCTTTTTCTAGAGTCACCTCTACCCAGCACCGGGGGCCTCTCTGCCCTAAGACCCCTCAGTGCTACCTTAGCCCGTTTTCTCCCAGCTGTTTCTAAGTTAAAATACGTTCTAAGGGCATCAATGCCAATTTCAGAGACGTCAAACCCCCTGATGTTGTGGGTCACCCACATTTCGTGAAAGAAATAATAAAGTGCCACATCATAACTGGGATGAACACCTTGAGGTTGTCTGTTCTGCCTCTTCAGTCAGATCTGATTTTAATTATCCCAGAAAAGCATTTTTATATCCTTTCCTTGTAAATTAACAAAAAAAAGTAAGAAAGTAAAAGTGAGAGAGATTTTCCTTATTACTTCCAGAATCACTGCTTGGTGTTTCAGTTTGGGAGGATGAAAAGACTTCTGAAAATGGTTGGTGGTGATGGTTGCACACAATTGCGGATGTACTTAATGCCACTGAACTACACACCTAATATTGGTTAAAGTGGTAAGTTTTAAGTTACGTATTGTTATCACCCCCCAAAAAAGAATCATTGCTACTAGACCCGTGGAAGCCCAGGAGAGGAGGAGTGACCTGGAGAGTTCCACCTTTGACACACACAAGCATGAATGCTGGTTTTCGGGGAGGAGAGAGGGCACACACTCAGTCTCTGAAGGCAGCTCGGACCTGGGCAGAGGCTCACCTGGGGTGCCGGGGTCAGGGGATGAGGGCTGCTCCTCCCTCTGGGGCTCCTCGCTCAGTGGGGAATCTTCTCCTGGGGGAGTGTGGCCTGTTCCTTGGGTCTGCTTGTTGCTCCGGATGTTATGCATCGTGTTTCTGAAAGGAAAATGGAGGATCCCGAGGCTGACAGCCCTGCCATCCTGCCCACTGCCCTCCCCACTGGCGCTGCTGGCGCTTGGGCCGCATCCTCATCCCTAGTCACGGCCCGATCAGTCCGATGCATCCCACCTGAGCCACTCCTGTCACCCTCACCCTCTCCTTTTCATTTTCTCATTGTACATATCACCTTCCATACACAGTATTCCTTGTAAACAATATACGCTTGACGCCTCTGCCTCCAGCCCCACTGCTGGAGCATAAGCTCCATGAGAGCAGGGATGTTTGTCTGTTTTGTTCACTGAAAACCTCTGAATGCCTAGAACAGTGCCTGAAGCATAGAGGGCACTTACTACATACCTGTTGAATGAATGTTGGATGGACTTGCCAAACTAACTTCCTGAAACCTTCATCCAATCTTATAACTACCCGGCTCAAAATCCATCAGTGGCTCCCTATTTCTGCTGAGAAAAGTTCCAAACCTCTCCTGGCCTCCATCTCCCCTTGCTTTCTTTCCCTGCTCAAAACTGTTCTCTCTGTAGCCTCCACTGATCACCTCAACAGGCTCCAAGGAGCTTACCACACTTCAGGAATGGGCCACCCTTTGACCAAGTACTTGTCTAGGCTGAGTAATGGCATCTTCTCTTCAAGAGCTGGGCACCCACCTATCAGCATGCCTGCTGGTACGGAATGCAGGCTCAACAGATGTTTGCAGGAAGGAGCCAGGTAGCACTAAAGGCTGGCCTGGCACCGCAGACCATGGAGAGATTCATAATGAGTCAGATGAAAAGGCAGTCTGACTGAGTTTATACACCCTTAGTAAAAGGATAAAAGTAGACATATTCTTACATTAATAACAAGAAAGAAAAAAATGACAAAAAAGATCAGGAAGTCAGAGTTTTTCAAACAGCAGGTTGTGACCCACTGGTAGACTGAAAATCAGTTTCACGTCATGACTGGTTTTTAAAAATTGGAACAGAACATACCAGAATGCACCCCACTCAGGAAGGGTTAAAATTTTGTGAATTATATATATGTGGACTGAGCTATAAAATAAAATGTTTTTCTTACTGTAGTCATGGTCAAAAGTTTGAAAAAGACTGCACGAGGAGGTCACTTACTTAAAGGGCAGCAATAGCATGGTCAAACAACAAGAGGATGCCAAGGTCTGTAGACCGTGATGGAGCCCTGGCTTTGCTCCATGGTCCCTACGGTCCATGCAAACATCTAGCAATATGGTGGGCAAACTACTCTAAAAAACCCTTGCTCCACAAACACCTAGATGATAGATAAATGCAAAACATATTTTTAAAATATTTAGCTGAATTCCCAGAAAAAGGAAGGGACCAAACAGAAAAAACGAGGTGAAATTCAAGTGGGAAGTAAAGAGGAAGATGAATGTGGGGACTAAATTACCGCTGGGCAAATACTCACTCCTTCCCCTCCACCTCCACAGGAGACTACTTCCCCCTCCTCCTCTTGACTTCGGGCATGGCCATGTGACTGGCTTTGGCTGAAAGGTTGTTGGTAGGTATGATGTTAAACACAGGTTTAAAATGCGCTTGCATGTAGGGCTTGCCCTCTTGAAGAACATGCCTCAGCGGCTGGTCCATGGAAAGTGAGAAATATGTGTAGACCTAGATTTTCCCAATGGCTTGGAGCCAGGACCAGGGGAATCCAGCTTGTATCGGTTAAACCCAGATGTGCTGGAAATAAATGTGTATTATTATATGACACTGAATTCTGAAGTGTTTGTTTGCAGAATTATCATTGTGAAAGTTGGCTAGGATGTGAGTTTGTCCAAGGATCAATTGGTTTTGTTTTTAATTGAAATGTAATTGAGTATAACGTGATATTAGTTTCCAGTGTACAACATACTGATTAAATGCATGAATGTATTGCAAAAGGATCACCACAGTAAGTCTAGTTAACATTCCTTACCACACATAGTTACTTTTTTTTTTCCTGTGATCAGAAATAGACTGTTGATACCAGAAACCTAGAGCCTTGGTTGCAAAGGAGGAAAGAAAACAAGGTTTTGGACCCATACAAAATATGGAGTTAAAACTGAAATTCTTACATAAAGCTGGGATTCCTGAAGGTCCATGTCCTTTGTGAAAAGGTGAATTAAAAAAAAAAAAGCCTGCTGGCAAAATTGATACAAGCAGTATAGGTGAAGGCTCTGGGTGTTCAAAACATTCTCTTTATGTGGTTTTGGTTTCAGAACAATATTGGCCTAATTGAATAAGTTGGGAAGTGTTCCCTGCTCTTTTTGCAGGGGGAGGGCTGGAGTTTGTAAAGAATTGGTATTAACTCTTCTGTAAATGTTTGGTTGAACTCACCAGTGAATTTATCTGGTCCTAGGTTTTTGTTTGTGTGTGTTCATGGTATTCCCTTATAAACCTTTTTATTTCTATAAGGTTGGTAGTAATGTCCCTTCTTTTGTTCCTGCCTTTAGTCATTTGAATCTGTTTTTTCTGGTCTTTCAAGGTAAAAGTTTATCAATTTCGTTCATCATTTCAAGGAACTATCATTCGATCTTAAACTTACTTTTAAAGCAAAATCCAGTTTTTTGGTATAGCTGGGTCCAGAATAGGAAAAAAATGAAACTATACTTTAATGGAAAGTACAGCTGACTGATGGAAGGTAAAATTAATCAATTAAATTAAGAACACAGAAGAAATCAGATGTCAGGACTCCCAACACCTGACCTTCAATAAAGAGCCCTGACTCCTTGGGCTAGTCATTTATTTTTCCTAGTTCTTACTTTACCCATTTAAAAATTAAAGAGTGGTGGCCATATTAGTATGAATGATGACCATGAGGGGCACCATGCTGAGCCCATCACATGACCTTCACACACCATAAGCCACATGAGTTGGTGAGAACTCAGGGGCACATCACTATAGCCAGAGGCACTGGCTGGGTGGGGTGAGCGTCACTGCTGCCCACACTTCCCCTTGTCCAGTGGGTGCAGGAGACAAGGGCAACCCTGGTCTTATGGGGGCTGTCAGCAGCCAGGGCACTTGCAACACTGCCTCGCATTTCTGTGGGTTATTACAAGTAACTGACTGATCCTCAGGAACTTCCTTCCTTCTTGATCTCTGCATGTTCTCTGTTCCACTTCTGCTGTTTGTGGTGGTCATTATGCAGAAACCTGGCTTAGTCTTAGGGAGACCATCCTAGACACACACCAGCTGGGTGGCTGGACTTCTCAGGTCCCTTCTGCCACAGCAGGCTCCCCATGCACCGAGGTCCCTCCAGCTCTGCCTGAGGGAACATCCCCTACAGGGCATCCACCTTGTCTGTTCACACTGGGGGCTCAACCACACCCCATACCCCCCAAGTCTCTCTGTCCAGCTCAGCTCTCTCTCCTGTGTTCCAGGCTGTTCCACCCACTGTGGGGTAGTTCCACCTCCAGCCAGTAGGCCCTAAAGGACACTCATCATATTTTCCCTGAAACCTGCTTCTCTCCTGGGAAGAGCATCACTACTCTGCTAGTTACCCAAGCAAATTCAAATGCTGAAGCCAACAGAGGGAAACGCTATGCCTGGTTCACACAGAGCCAGGGGTCTCTAATCCAAGTCCAGTTAACAATCTATTCTGCCTTCTAAGGGGTCCCAGTTTGTCTGAAGTCTATACAGAAAGTGAGCACCCAAACAGGATCAGGATTGAGAATAGCCTGAATTCCAAAAGCTTCCATTCCTTCAATTAGAGCAACAGTAATAGCAACAGACAATATTTCAGTGCTTACTGATACCCAAGCAGCTATAAAGCAGTTTACATGCATTAACCCATTTACCACACACACACACACACACATCTTGTAAGGCAAGCACTGTTATGCTTACATTTATTGACAATTTAAGTGAAGCACAGAGAAATCAAACAACTTGCTAAGGGCAGCACTGCCCATAAATGGTGGGGCCAGGATACAAATCCAGGCACTGCTAACTTTTTATAAAGTATTTAAAACAAAGCCTGCCAGTGGGAAATCGTATATACCATACAGTATTAAATGAAAAAGAAACTGAGATGTGATCAGTATACAATAAATTACACATGTTAAAAGTGAATAATTTGATGTTTGACATATGTAGACATTTAGTGAAGTCATCATCCCATTATGTTGATATGATCTCAATTATGCACATATGAATATAGAAAATTCGGGGAAAGAGATATAGCACATGCTGAGAATGCCTGTCCAGGTGACAGGACTATGGTAACTGTAAATGCATACCTTTCTAGGTGTTCCTAATCTCCTACAAAGAACATGCACTACTTCAAAAATCAGAACAACAAATGTAATATTTTAAAGTCATGATGTGATGAATTGAAAATAAAGCTCCTAACCCTCTACCCAGGCCCAACTCCCTGTAAGGGAATCACGCCTGATCACTGTAAGCGCCAAAGAAGGGACTGCTTGCAGCTTGGCCAGCCCCTCAGCTCCACGGGCACTCACTGTATCTCAGTTCCCAGGTGCTTGAGGGAAATATTCTGAAGAGCCAAGGGCATGGCAGGGACTGGCTGGGAGGCAGCTGCTAGGCCCACAAGTCCAGGGGGCGTTTTCACAGGACACAGGAACTCCTCCAGCTCCGCCTCCTCTTGCTCTGGGGAACAAAGGAAAGGGAAGTCACCCACTGGGTCACTGCACTTGCAAAGACTAGACAGGTGGGTGCTACAGGCTCAGGTCTGCCTGGGAGCAGGCAGGAGTCTGAGCTGTACGGGCAAGCCTTCCTTCCAGGTTAACACCAAAGAGGCAGGCTTTTCTCCAAATGTGCTGCAACCAGTAAAATGATGCATTTTGCTGAGACAGCCTTCCTGGAAACCCCCTTAAAAGTTTGCAGAATTGCAGATATTTCTACATCTGAGAATCCATCCTAAAGAAGTTGCCTGAAATGCAGACAAAGCTTTATGGGCCAAGAGGTTCATCCTGGTACTGTTTAGCCTCAAACTGGAACTAGCGTAAAGATCTAGGGAAAGGTTAAATATATCATGATGCTTTTCACACAATGGAATATTACTCAACCATTAAAACAATGCTAATGAAGAATGCTTAAGTATGGGGATGAGATATAATATGGAAAAAACCATATAACAAATTGGGTTTGTTGTATGTCTCAACTGTACAGACAAAAAACTCAAAGAAATACACTCTGCAATCTTAACAGTGGTCAAAACTACATGATGGGATTAGAAATAGGCAGGATATGCTCATTATAATTTATGGTTTTCCCCCTACATATTCTACAGTAAACATGAATTACTTTTAAAAACAGAAAAATAATATATCTTTACCAAAAGTAGCTGTTTATAAAAAGATTTTACAACAGGGAAAATTTCAGATCACTCTACTGAGTACCAAAAAGCAAAGTAGGATGTTTTATATTATTATATGATCCAAAATATGTCTAAGTAAAAGGCAGATAGGAGCTCATGACATAATGTTAATACTGGCTGTCTCTGGGTGATAGGATTATGACTACTTTTTTCTTCCAGTTTTCTACATTTTCCAAGTGTTTAAACAATGATTCCCATACAGCAAGTGCTTCAAAATGTTTAATGTTAAGGGAGGTTTTGAAGCAAAGGACACATTATTAGAGGTATAAGAGAGGGAGTTGAAATATTTAGAAGTCAATTTTGAGTATTACAAAAAGTGAGAGAGAACTCAGGCCACTTATGGGATGGTACCATCTTGACCAAGTGGCCCCTGAGGACAACAGGGCAGTAGATAACACCTCTCATTTGGAGCCCTCTTACTGAGAGGGTGAAAATGTAGGGGTAGAGCGTATTTATTTTTGCACTACATCTGAAAAAAGGTGTGGGTGTAAAAACATAAAATACAGGCACACCTCAGAGATATTGTGGGTTCGGTTCCAGACAGATGCCACTGTAGGAAACAGAATTGATGACCCAAGGCTCTGGCCTAGGGCCTCTGGGCCCCTCTCCAGGCTAGAGAAACACTCTCAGTGAGGTGATCACATGAAGAATTTTCAGCGGCATTAACCTATAATTCTTTTGCCTGAGCTGTAGAGGTTGCCCCATTACCAGTAGGAAGAAATCATCACCCAACAAAAAGTGCCTGGACCTGTGGGCCACTGCTTCCCCAAAGGGCCCTGGACACATGACCAGTTGCCTCCAAAGCTGAAGGGGAGTGGGGTGGTGGTGGTGGAATGAGTCTGCAGACTAGGGTTCAAATTTCAGTGCTGCCATTTTCTTCCTGTGTGACCCTGGACAGGTCTCTTAACCTCTCTGAGCCTCTTCTGAAAAATAGGAATAACACTACCTACTTGAGATTGCTGTGAGGCTGAGAAAACAATGCATATAAACTGTGAGAACAGAGTCAGTAAGTGGTATGCATATTTTTATGACATACATTTAAAAAAGTCCTTTGTAAACTGTGCCCTACTTAGGCAGCATGTTAACATTCTTATAAATTTGTTGACTTCCCCTCCATCCTTTTTGGCTCTTGTGGAGACCACTGTTTAGGTAAAGTATAAAATAAAGGTGTAAAAGCTATAGAGAACATGCCTTGCAGATTGCTCAAGGACTGTGGTAAGACACTTTTACAAGCTGATGTGTCTGTGACTCAAGGTCAGATGAGAGTCTGTTGGTTTTCGCTGCCCTGGGAGCAGGCCCCTGCTTCCTCCCAGGAAGGGTGGAGACTGGAGAGGTGGGGCAGCCTCCAGTCTAATCCTGAGTCTGCCAGTTTGCTCAAGACTCTAGAAATTTCTTTCTGGATAGACTAGGGAAGGTTATACAGGGGCCCTGGGTCCAGGAGGGTGAAGGCAGACTGTGGGACAAGAGAGGTTTCAGGAGAAGCCCACATCCCTGCTTCCTGCATCTCCTCCCCGAGCGCCCCTGTCAGGAGACTGGAGCCTGCTCGTTATGGCAATCGCTCCCCTCCCCTGATGCTCACAGCACAGGCTGGCCCAGAAGAGGCCCACCGAGTGTGCTGAACCGAAGCCATTCTTCTGATTACCCAGTTCTACTGATTTCAATTCTGGACGCTCGGGAATTGTCAGGAGGAGGGCTTTTTGTTGCTTCTAGTCTGAGGCTGATTCGGCAACCATGTCAACTCAGTTTGCAGTTTCCCGCACAGCTGGGGTGCTGAGTCTCCGACAGATGGGAGTGGAGGGTGAGCAGAAGTGCAGAAGCAAAAGCAAACAAACCCTTCCTCAAAGAAAGTCCTTACAAGCATAAAAGCCCCAGCAAGTTCTCTGAAACAATTATGGATGATTATTATAGACCCTAAAAAGAGGCACTTGACAGTGACAGCGTGCAGGTACACACACAGCGACAGTTTTACAGGGCAGCTCCCCCGTACTGAGCTCTCACACTGTGCCTGCCATTACACTGAGGGCTTTTCATTCCTTTCCTCATTTAACGATAAAATTCGATGTATTCACTCACACATTCACTCAGCAAATATCGACTGTGCCTGGCAGGGCAGCAGGTAGGGGAGACACAGGTGACAAAGACACAGCCCTCATCCTTCAGGGCCAGAGGGCAGAGACTGACAAGGATGCTCTAATTACAACAAAACGTGACAGGCCTTGTTGGAACCATCCGCAAAAAGTGCTGAGGGCTCATACAAGTCCAGGGGGCACAGTCCGGGAAGGCTTCCGAGAGGCGGTGGCAGAGGAGGAGGTGACAGTGGAGCTCGGCCACAGAGACTAAGCAGGAGCTCACCAGGCAGAGAGGAGCGAGCAGACATGCCTCTGGTGCTGCTGCAAGTGGGCTCCGGGGGAGCGGGCAGAGGGGAGACGAGGAAGGATGAGGCCTGAGTTTGGTGCTAAAAAGCTGGGACTGGGCCTGGGACATGGTGGGTGGCTACGGAAGCTGGGGTGGGGTGGGGAGCTCAGGTTTTCATTTGAGGAAGCACACTTTGGCTGTAGTGAAGGGGGTGGGTCTGAGGTGGCAGGTTGGGACACGGGGACATCATAGAGGAGGCTGCTGTGGTTTCCAGCTAACAGTTGAGGCCTGACCCAAGGCAACAGGGGTGAGAAGGGCCTGGGTCTGAGGTGCAGGCCAGAGGGCAGACATCGCCAGCACAGGGGACTGAATGGACTGACTATCAGTGATCTAGGAAGGAGCAAGAGGGCTCCCAGTTGCTGGGGCAACTGGGTAAATGAAGGCCATTTACTGAGGGAAGGAAAAGTGGGGAGGAGAAGGCTAAGGGCAGATGAGCTCAGTCTGCAAAGCATCCAGGTACTGGGGTCTAGGCGGTGCCCAGCCACAGGTCCTGCTCTCGCCCACTGTTTCCCTGTCAACTGAGGCTGCGGTGTGTTAGACACACTGCAGCTCTGTGCTGCGACCTCACTCTCCACACTGTCACAGGGGCAGCTCTCTGGGTTGTCTGTCCCAATTCTAAAACCTGCCAATCATAACCCTGGCTGCAGCATGGGCAGGAGGGTATGAGCTCCTAGACTCCCCCATGCTGAGATGTTTTAGGATTTGGGATCAAGAAACTTCACTTGTGGGCCACATGGGGGTAAAGATTCTGCCTTATGGGGCCATTGATGATAAAATCATTGATTTACCCAACCCACAGCACAAAAGCATTTACGTAAGAAGCGACAACAATAACTGTATTTTCTCATTAACCTTCCTCGTAGCAGCTCTGTGAGTTTCATTTCTTGAGCTCTTCCCACAGCTGTCATCATCATAATAGTAGCTGACATTTACTGAGCTCTGACAACAGGCCGGCATTGTTCCAACCATGTAAGGTGTATGGATTAATTTAATCCTCATAATAACCCTAGGAAGCAGGCATACTTTACAGGAAAGGAAACCAAAGCTCAGAAGGGTTAAGCAACTTGCCCAAGGCCACACAGGATTTGGAATTGAATCTAGGCAGCCTGGCCTCAGAGCCCATATTCTTGCCCTTGATGCTGTACTGTTGCCCTAACTGATCCTGAGTCACATCCCTGGCTCTGCTTCTTTAGCAGATGGTTCCTCCCACTCACTCCCAACAGGAGAGTAAAGGCTTGGTCACCAAGAGCCCTGGGTGTGCAAGCAAGAGGCAAGCCCATTGGGTACCTAGCTCGAGGCGCAGGGCGGGCCCATTCCCAGCCAGGGCAGCGTCAGGGGTGGCGGGAGGTGCAGGTGGGCTGTTGTGGAACTCCCAGCGCTTCATCTGCAGCTGCTGCAGCCAGTACAGCATCGCTTGCTTGGTGGCGGCCTGAGAAGCACAAGGGTTAGTTGGCAAGGCCCTGTGCCTGCATGGTGGCACTGGGTGTGGGACGCAGGGAGGTCATGGGAGGCTTGGCAACTCTCTCCTTCCCAGGGGAAAAGAAACTGTCACTGCGGATGGGTGCCCACCTCTGAAACACCACCTGCTTCTTTGCCACAGAAGATAACTCAGGCTCTGATCTCCCCACTCAGAGGTTCCTTAGCCTTCCTGGGCCTCAGTTTTGTCATCTGTACTATGGTGATGATAACCCTCATTTCCTAAGGTGGTTATGAGGGTGAAATGAGGTAAGGAAAGTAAAGTGTCCAGCACAGTTCCTGACACACAGCAGGTGCTCAAAATGTGCTCACTGGATAAAGGAACTTGGAGATGCTAAGAGAGAGGGAGAGGGCTTTGAAATTCTGACCCGGCTGGGGCTCTGGTAGCATCACTGTGTTCCCGTGTGGCATCTCAACGTCCTAGCTGACCTTGTGAAATGGGGAGAATCCCTCCTGTTAGAGGGAGGCACTGAAATCATGGATATGATTGGGACCTGAAAAGCCATCCACACACTACAACAACTACATTGCACCCTCCAGGCAGCCCACATGGGGTATGGCTGACATCGCCCATTAGTCTCCCAGCACTAGATGGTCCAAATGCCGACTCTCACATCCATTACATTGCCGGGTCCTCCACTGGGGAGGCAGGGCAGGAGTGATCAGGTCCCTTCCACAGATGGAGAAACTAAGGCTCTGGAGTCTTCTACGCAGGTGGTGGTAGAGCTGGTCCCAGAACCTGGGTCTCCCACCTCTAGGCCAGAGATTCATTAATTTACGGCCAGGAGATTGTGGCTCACACAGAGAAGGCATGGGATCAGCTGGGCCACAGAGGCTGGGCAGCTCACTGCAGGTGGATTGGGAGCCTCACAGAGCTGCCCTCAATCAGAACAATGAGAACAGCAGAAGCTACGGGTGACCAGGGCAAGCCTCTCTCTCATGATGACCACAGGTGAGGTGTGCACGAGCTCATGAAAGAGGCCTTCAGCCTGTTGTGGAGGTATCGAGTCACATAAAACCATGCCCACCATTCTTCTCTTTCTATATACTTTTTGCAAGAGATCTCAGCCCTGCCCAGGGTTTCACCATGACCTTGTGTGACAAGCCCCAGTCCATATCCAAACACCCTATTTTATTGATTAATTGGACAGGTGTATATTGAGCATCGACTATACATGTCAGGGACTGTGGCAGGCACGGGAGACACTATGGTAAGCCAACACACATGGCCCCTATCCTCTTGGAACTTAAGAGTCTACAGGGGGCAACAGAAGCCTGCATGTCCTATGGACTCCTCATCCTGGGTTCCCTCATATCAGTGACTGGCCTGACCATGCAGTCAGCCAGTTGCACAAGGCAGCTCTGACTCCTCCCGCACATCCCGAGCCACCCCTATTTGTCTCCCTTCCCACTGCCACAGCTCTAGCTCGGCCATCATTCTCTCCTGACCACCTCCTGATGGACCACAGCTGGGCCACAGCCTTATCTTCTCCTAATTTGTTCTCTACCCAATAGCCAGACAACTTTCTCAACATTCTAATCTCGCAGTGCTTCCTTGCTTAAAGCTCTGACAATTTCCCATAGCCCGTAAGACAAAATCCAAGCTCTCTGGCCAACCTCATGAATGGCCTGCCCTCAGGCTTCTGCTCTCCCACTCTGACTTCTGGGCCCCTCTATATCCCAGGCTTCTGGGATTTGCCTGGACATTCCAGGCTGTTTTCCTGTTTTTGCTCATGGGGGTCTCTTGGCCTGGAATATCCTTCTTTCTCTTGTCTGCTTGTAGAAAACTGATTTCCTTTTTCAAGTCTCAATGTGTCATCGCCCGTTTCCTCCTCCTCCTTTCTGGATAGCCCCACCTACTCAGTGGAAGAGACCCCTCCTGTCACGATGTCTTTCTGGTACCAACTTATCATAGTGTCTCTATAAAACAGTTTACTTGCATGCCAGTCTCCCTGTTGGTCTCTCTCACCAGGACTTAAGGTGTTTGAACACCAGGGAGCTGGTCTGATTTGGCTCCACATCCCAGTGCCTAACAGTGCTAGACACACACAGGGGTCAATGGAATAGTAAACGGCATATGTTGGAGACCATGTAGACAGCATTCAATGTGTGGGAGGAAAGACATGACCCATAAGCCACATTACCCCTAAAACGCCTGCCTTCCTAGGCGTGGAATTCCTGATTTGCATTATTTTTTGCAGATTCCCTCAGCCTGGTCACATACAGGGGAACTAAAGTTGTGGGCTCAACAGATGCCCAGTTGGCTGGAGGTGAGGGTGGAGATGTGGGAAGACGGGGTGGGGTGGTGCGAGGGTAGGTGTAGACTGGACTGGAAGACAGTCTCCTGGCACACTCGTCTCTGATGAACGTGAATCCTAGAACTCTTAGCCCACATCTGTCTTTCCAGTTAAGTTCTGGGGCCCTCCCTCTTGACATGACATGAACTTTCTGACCTTGCTTCCATTGCTATGTGTCTTCATTCAACAAATATTTATTGAGCCACTATGTGACAGGCTGTACTCGAGGTGCTGAGATTAATTTAACAACTTGTAGGTGCCTGTGATGTGCTAGGTGCTTACACACCTTGTTTTAAATCTCACAAACTGTTTAGGTACAAAGAGGTTAACTTGCTCAGAGCCACACAGCTAGTAAGTAGCTGATGTAGAATTTGATCCCAAGCATGTCTGACTTCAAAGCACATGGCCTTCACATTGTTTCAGGTTTTCTCAGGTAAATATGACGATAAAACAAAACCTACTGGTGAGAAAACAGGTTTCGGCATGCCTTGATGAACAATGTGGGTTGATCGGTGAAACCTAAGTGTTTATCTCCCAATCTCTGCCGAAGTTTTCTCAGCATTCACTCCCCTTGGCCACAACATCAAGGAAAGTGATTCAGAATCCGGGCCTTGAGAGAAGATTGCAAACCTCCCAACTCGGCTGTAGTTTTAGCCCCAAGTAAGAAAGTTAGAGTAACTGCATTGTTAGCCACGCCCAAAAGTAAAAGTTCTGATACGGGACTGAGAAGTAGAAAAACTATGGGATACACCATTTTTTAGTTGCATGACCTCGGACCAGTCACTTCATCTCTTTAGAAGTTTCTTGATCCGTAATATGGGTCCATCATCCCTGCCTTTGTTGTGGGAACTCAATTAGGAAATGGATGTGAATGCACTTTGGAAAGCACAAAACTCTGAGCACCCAGGGTTCACTGGAGTGCTCAGGGTCGGTGATCGTTGTTCCAGTAAGTTTACTGTGACCACCCACCTGCGCCTGGCCGTACCTTGGGATATAAACCCAGCTGAAAAGGAAAAAAGCTGTCCCATTTACCTTCAAAGTAATAATCCGGCTGGGAGTCTTGATTTCGAAAGTCCCTTCCTCAGCGTTTGCCTTGCAGTCAAAGACTGCAGTGGAGACGTCGATGCTGTCCAAGGGATTGGCATCCTGTGCGGTCCGCGAATAATACAGGTGACATTTCCTCTCGTCGTAGAAGAACCAGCGGGATTTCCAGCCCCGGATGGGCCCTTTGCCGCCAAACTTACTTAGATATCCACAAAGTTTCTTAGGAGTTGTCTCCAGGGGCCGGGCGCAGCCCTCCGGCTCCTCGGGAGGCAATACCTCGCGGCCCTTGGCCGAGCCGGCAGGCTCTTCGGACCTGGGGGCGGAGGAGCTAGACTCCGCGGGGTTTTCCTCGGCGCCCTCCATCGCTGATAGAGACCACCGAGGGACTGGAGGTCAGCAGCCGAACTCCGGTCAAATCTCGGAGACCGAGGGGAAATTGTCTAAGAGGGAGCTTTCTGGATGGGGCGGGGCCAGTGGTGACCCGCCCCCAGGAGACGACGGAGGGACACGGCTGGCTGCTGTGAGTGCACCTAATTGATCAAAACCCCAGTAGGGGCGGCTGGTCACGCCCATCGGAACCCTTCTGCAGCCAGCCCACGCCCCGACACGCCCTCTACCGGCTCCTCCCACTCCGCCTACTTCCGGCTTTCCTTCGCGTCTATCCGCCATCTTTACTGAGGGCAGTTGCGGCGTGAGGGGGTCTTCAGGTTGAAGGCGTCGTGTTCCTGAGCTAGGTTAACCTGCGGAAAAGAAGCTGGAAGTGACGCCCGGCCTCGACTACATGCTCCGGTAACTCGCGCAATAACGTAGAAGGATAGCTCCTCGCGCCTTACGGGCCTCCCGCCTTTTCTTCTCAGGTGCCGCGCAGGTCACGGTCGGACGACGGACGGCGCACCGCGCTGCCATTGGCTAAAAGGGACGCCCGGCTCGGTGCCACCACTTCCGGCGACGCACACGGCGCGCGTGCCTCGTGGGGTCTGTTGCTTTAGCGCCCCGGTGAGTCGCAGCTGACCGTGGTGGTCTCTTCTCCCTCGGTCCCAGTTCCCACTTGACTCTTTCCCGGGCTGCTCGCCTTATATAGGGCCCAGTGCCTGGGGCGGGATTGGGCTCAGTAAATTTTGTAAACCAACAAATATACCCAGGTTGACAGGCTCGCTCAGCTTCCTGCCCAGTTCTACCTTTTGTCCTTAAGTTTCTCCTTCTTCCTTAAGGCGCATTCTGTGGAGCCCATTTCTGTCCACCTTTTTAGGGGCTTCAGGCTTCTTCTCTAGCCCTTCCTTAGCTTCTTTATCTTTTGCTTCTCCCCATCAGCCGTCCTTAAGAAAAATCTTCTTTGTTTTCTTCGGGGCAAGTTATGCTCATGAGACTGAGATTGCCTTAGCCAGTAATTTATTTAACACAGGTTCACTGCTGGAATTATAATTATAAATGATGTTACCGACCAGGGTTCTTGGCCTTAATCAATATAAATTGATAACAGGCCAGAGGAGAAATTCAGGCAAGGTTTTAGTGGGACTCGTGCCGCAGCATGAGGAAGCAATAACAAGTAACAGGTTCCCTTACTCGCTCCCTGAGGGGGTGGGGGAACTGGTCCCTTAAATAAGGCAAGGGTAGGGGCGGGCCCAGGGGTTGGGCTGCAGGGGTGGCTTAGGTGGTCTGCCCACCCCCTTGGTGGTGCTGTGTGCAGGAATTATATGCAGTTATCTTGCTTCTGCTCTGGGGACCCTGCTATTGCTCCCGATAGTTCAGAAGAGGCAGTTGGGTTTTTGGTCTTTTAATATCTTATTGTTCATAATTTGCCCCAACTGTGCATGCATACAGTTATTTTTAGTCCTTTATAGTTTCTTTGTATCCTGTTTATCCTGGTGCAAGCATTGCAGCCCAGGGTCCCAGGCAAACCCTATTCCCGACCACCTCCATGCTGAGGGAATTAGGGAGGGGCATGGTGTACAGGCCCCAGCTGCAGTGGTGGGTGTTAGGAAACCTGGGCACTGGAATTTTCATTGGCCCATTAAAACCTTTCTGGCTTTGGTTTCCTCATCTGTAAAATAGTGATTATAATTCCTACCCAGGACATCCCACTGAATACGAAGACCTAAAAAGGTAATGATGGAAAAATTTTGTCTTGGTGTCCCTAATCTGCAGTAATAATCTGTATGCTCAGGGTTGCTCCAGAGGGAAAAAAAGGTTTAAGTTTTAGGTTTAGGAGCAGTAGAGGGAAATTCCTGTTAATCTAGATGCACTAATTGCTAAATATCCTAATGGATGTACTTTTGGTTACATCAAAATATAGTCAACATCCCTCACAACCCTCCCCTCTTTACCTGCAGGCGCCTAGCGTTAGCTGCAAAGCAAGAGGTTGTCAGATAGCGACACCTTGTGGCCTTTGTGGTGTACTGCCGTTGGGTTTATCGGGTCGCTTGTCAAAGGGAAACTGATTTTCTTTCAACAAAGTCATGAATTTCTCTGTGTTCCATTATTATATGCACTAGTAAATATTATGCCTTAAGTTATTTGAGCTACCTTCCATGTTGAATTTTTTCCTTTTCTTACTATGGGACAGTGTTATTTCTCTTACTGAGAATCTTATTTCTCTTACTGAGTGCAATCTTATTGAGAAAACATTTTTAAAAATTTAGGTTTTCTGGTCAGCAAAACATCATCATATAATTTCTAACATCTATTTTTGAGTAATATCATTTTCAATTGAAAATAAGCCCAAAGAATTAATGTGTTTTGACAAATAAGATTTTTTAATTGAAGTGTAGTCAGTTTATAATGTTGTGTCAGTTTCTGGTGTACAGCATGATGTTTTAGTTATACATGTACATACACGTATTCTTTTTCATGTTCTTTTTCATTTTAGTTACTACAGTGTATTGAATATAGTTTCCTGTGTAGAAAGTTGTTGTTTATCTGTTTTGTATATAGTAGTTAGTATCTGCAAATCTCAGACTTCCAATTTATCCCTTCCCAACTCCTTCCCTGCCAGTAGCCATAAGTTTGTTTTCTATGTCTGTGAGTCTTTTTGTGTTTTGTGAGTAATTTCATTTGTGTGGTTTTAGATATCATATGGTTTT